GTAGTCTTTATTACTCATATTCATAGGAGAAAATCCCATAATATGTTGTTCCAATGATGGTGGTGTAGGATACATCTTATGAAGATCTGCAGTGCCTATATTAAGAAAACATTTAAATAAAAGAGTTGAAAAAAGTAGGTCTGTGTAAAGCAATGGGGAGAAAAAGTTACATTAAGGTTGTAAATTTAGCATATGTATCTGGAACATAGATTTGGGAAACTTACTTATGCAAGATAATGGGTCCAGATTTCCTGCCTTTGATTCTTTGCAGTTGGATTTATCATCTGATCCATTCACTGATTTTTTAGATCCAGGCTATTAAAAAACACATTTATCTGAAATATTATATCCAACATAACCCTCAAAACAATCATTCAAATAATGGCCATTCATTCACAGTAATTTTTAAATGCTAGAACCAAGAAGATACTAGATATATTAAAGTGTATTTTAAGCAATCACTCACCCTAAATTTGTTTCTCTGGCTATTTATTTTATAAAACTCCATATAAAATCCAGACAGAGGTGAAAGTCCCTCCAATGAAAATGACTAACACTTAAAATATATTAAAGCAAAACCCCAACTTATTAATAAGTTAAAATATACTAAAATTTAAAAAAAAAAAACCCACAACAAAACCATGAGAAAACCTGCAACAAGGGTATCAGTTTAAAAGACTATGGTGTGGGTTCAAATCCATCAGATGCTCCACTGGAGAAGGTGGGGCAATCTCCTCCTATTCCCATCAGAATTAGATCTGATTCAATGGTACACAACAAGAAAAAAGGAAAAAGAGACTATTATGTGCCTGATCAATGCCATGATCTTTTCAATCACTTCCTATGCATCTGAAAGCTCAACCATGAATAAGGAAGACAGAAGAACTGGTGTCTTAGAACTGTGGTATTAGAGAAAAGTGCTGCATATCCCATGGACTGTAAAGAAAAAAAAAAAGTGTGTCTTGGAGGAGGTGTGACCAGGGCACTCCTTAGAGCAAGGATAGTGAAACTTTGTCTTATGTATATATTAGGCATGCTCTCAGGAGGGGCCAATTCTTGGAAAAAGATATCATGTTAGGAAAGGTGGAGGTTCAGCAGAAGAAAACCTTCAACATGATGGACTGACCCAGCGACTGTTAATAATGGGGTTGAGTGTATCAGAAATAGTGAGGGTGGTAAAGGATAAGGCAGGGTTCAGAGCTGTTGTTCACAGGGTCGTTATGAACTGCAGGTGACTGCACAGCACCTAACAACATTAACAGCCTATGACCTTGGAGAATTTCTTCATGTGTTCTTTTGCCATCTGAAAGTGTTCTTCGGTGAAGTTTCTATTAATGTTCCATTTTGTAATTGGAATGTCTTGTTAAGGTGTTGGGAGTTTTCTATAAATTCCAAAGATGATCAACTTGTCAGATGTCCCTACCAAATATTTTCCCTTAGTTTTTAGGTTTTCCTTTTGAGAAGTATTTTTGATACACACAAGGATTTAATTTTTAGGAGTCCCAGACATCTAGATTATGCTGCTGACTGTGTATTTTTAGCTATATGATAGTCTATGTATGACATACCTTAACATCTCTAAGTTTGCTCCAATGTTTTCTTTGAAGATGTTTATAGTTTTAAGTTCTAAGCCTTTAGGTTTTATGGTCTTTGATCTATTTTGAGCTAGTTCTGCATATGGTGTGAGGTATGGGTCTAATTTCACAATTTCAATCTTTTGCGGGCATCCAGTTTGCCAACACTATCTGTTAAAGAGATTGTCTTTTTCTACTTAATTCATTTCACCTCTCTGTTGAAGTCAGCTGTCCATAGGTGATTGGGTTCTTTTCCTGGGTTCTCTCATTTTAATCCACTGATCAACATATCTGTCATTGCACCAATTTTTTTGATTACTGCAGTTATGTAGTAGATATTGAGATCAGAAAGTGTAAAGCATCCTATTTTGTCTTCTTCTTTCTTTCTCCAGTTATTTCTTTGATTATTTGGGGTCTTCTTCCTTCCTATTATGAAATTTGTAATCCTTTTCCTCCTATATCTTTTAAAAATAATGATGTATCTGGAAAGGGACTGCATTTTATTTGTTGACTGCTTTGGGCAATATTGTAATTTTCACAATATAAGTATTCCAACCCATGAGCATGCTGTATTTTTCCATTTATGTGGGTCTATTTGGATTTTTTGCAGGAATGCTTTTCTTCATAATGATCTTTAGTATCTCTGGTTAGATTTATTCCTAAATATTTCATCTTTTAGGTGGTTACTATATAAATGACAGTTTTCCTTAATTCAATTTCAGGGTTCCTTTTATTATTGTAAAGAAATCTGACTGGTGTTTGTGGATTAGGTTTACACCAAATTGGGCAACTAGATCAAACACTTTTCTTACTGAATCTTTGTAATTTTCTTTATATAGGCCATATCACCTATGAATAGAGAGAATTTTATTTCCTCTTTGCCAATTTAGATGGCTTTCATTACCTTTTCCTGCCTTATTGTTCTGACCAGAACTTCATAAAAGCATGTATTATACAGGATCATAATAAGATCAAATGTTCAGTAGAACTTTGCAAGCTATCTTTAAACAAATGAAAAAGGAATCACCTTATACAATAATACAGCTACCAATTCATTAATTTTCTAAAGACTTGACATTTTAGGGAATCTTATTTTAAACTTTAATTTTTACTATTTTCCTCTTTCTCTGCAAATGGTGTTAAAGATAAAATATTTTCTTTCATATTTACAAATATGTATTTAATAGTAATAGCTGTAATGCCAAGCAAATTCAAAAGGGGCATCCCTGAATAAACAAAGTACATAATTTAAACAATAATTACCTAAATATTCTCTAAATCAAGCTATCTCTTGTCATTTATCAAATTTAAGGATTAGACAATCAGAAAATAATTTTGCTCCTAAGAACTGCAGAAGAATACACATTAGAATCAAAACAAACTTAAACATAGTGTGTTCTTCAAACACACAAACACAATAAAGAATAATAAATAACCTTCAAGTTTACAGGCAACATTTTTTGTCAAAAATGTTCAAGTACAAGATTTTTTTAGTAAGAGTAGGTAAACCTAATGAATTTTTGAGATTTCAGTTTAAACATTTTATAGCTCATGTTTCTAGATATTTCTCATTTTTCAGGGATATTTATTGAAACCACAAATAACTTTTTAAAAAGAAAACATTTATATAAAACAAGTAACATTCTTTTTTTGCATTGTAATTTTTAAGTAACGTGTACAGAAAAGTTGGCTTTTCATTCATTCATCGTTGCACATTTTCCTCTCTAAAAAGTTACATTCTAATGGTTAACAGGATACTCACTGTTAGCTCATCTTCATCAGAATTGAAGAGATTATCAAGGTCAGTATAAGACACAGCCAGATCTGAGTCATAAATCAAACTTGTTGATGGGGGACGGGCATGACTAGTAGGGCGTGGAGCATCTATACATATCAATTTAAAAAAAAATTAAAAATTCTACTACTGACCAAATATATATTAACCTTAAACCGAACAGAGGGCTATGTAACAATAAATTGTTAGGAGAAGCTTTTTTCGTAAAAACAAAGTTGTAAATTAAATTAACTTTCTTACTGAAAGATAAGCAAAGGTCATATAATTTGTAACACAGCTAAATAAATTTATATACAAAATAAAAATACAACTAATACTAAGGTAATAAAATTTAAATATACAATAACATTTTTATTTTCGTATCTTCCTAAACAACAATAATAATACAATGTTCAAGAGCTCAGGCAGACTACTGATTTAACAAACTATTAATTTGAATTGTAGAAATTTTAACTATCATATAGTACCAGAATCATTTGTAATAACATTCCCATGATACAGCATTTTGATTAGGAAATGTTTTACCTTGCTTGATAGAGGAACTAAATAATGACATTGCATCTTCTTCATGTGATAACACTGTTACACTAGTTGTTCCATCGTCTACCTATAAATAATAATACATTAGACTGAAATATGTATTTTACCTTAAACAAAATCTACAAATTACTGAGTAGCTATTAAGTGTCAAGCATTATGCTAACCGTCTTACATATATCATTTATTCTCACTATTAACCTATGATGTAAAACACATACTGGCACAATTATCTAACACGCAAAATGGAGGTTATTCTAAGAAATAAAGGAAGATGGAACATCAATCTAAATTTAAAACCTAAACCTAATTTCAAAGCTCGCCTTTCTTCCACTAGACACTCTGATTTTCTCTTTACAAAAAGGACAAAAGTTCAAGTCCCAACACATACTCTGGGATATGTAAGTTTTTTAACATTAATTCTTTGTACAGAGTAGAACACTGGGTCCTCCTCACAATTTCAGTTTTCGAGCTTTATATTTTATAATTAAAAGAAAATTCTAATACAGCTGAGATTTCTAGTTAATTGTTGTTGCTGTGTACTGTTGAGTCAAAACCAAACAACAGCTGACCCTCAAGAGATTTTCAGAGAGTTAATCACATGGGTGGAGACTGCCCATCTTTCTCCTGCGAAGTAGCTGGTGGACTTGAACTATGGTGCCTTTGGGACTGCAGCGCAGTTATATTCTCAAATATTTGATCTTTAAAATTTTAAAAATTTTACTAAGCCATATATATTAGTAATACTCCTTTTTAATTAAAAAAGGCAACATAAATACTTTACATATTAAAAAACACAATGGTTTTATAAACGCATTGATGTGCATTTATATTTGGAAACTAGCAATTCACTTACAGTATATTTTAACTACCAAATAGTCAACCCCTCTAAGGAAAAAAAGAGGTCTACCCACATGTTTTGTATTTACTCACAACAGAAAATAAATTAATATACTTTTTCTCCATATCAGGAATTTTTAATATAAATAGAAACATTTACCTTTCCAGAGATTAAAAGACAAATAATGAGATAAATGTAGTGTGAATGTAGCACTACAAAATAATCAATGACTAGTGTACTTTACTCTTTCTTACCTTGTGTTTCTTTCCTGTTTCTCTTTCACTATTTTGCCTATCTTTCTTATCAGGAAAAAGGAATTCCTCATCTCCTTCAACAAATGCATATGGATCAATTTTAGGTTCTTGTTCTGCATTAGAGGCTATTGCTGAAAGATACTGATTTTTAATTTGATATTGCTGCACTAATTCATCAGAAACTTTTAACGGTTTCTTACATTGCACCATTAACCTGTATAAGAGAGTAAAATAGAAAAAAATTAATTTTCTTCATTATACATAAACACATAAAACAACTTAAAAATCATGAAGTTTTATAGATTTAGAGCTCATCTGGCATGAAACATTTCTTGTAACAAAAAGAGGCTTAAAAGGGTTATGTAATTTACTGACGTCACAGCTCTAGTAAGATATAAATGAAACTAAAATCCAGGCCAACTATCAATATGTTCTTCCCATTATAATATGCTGTATTTTGGTACTCAACTGTGTTATCAAGTCTTCAAACATATTAACTGATGCAAAGCCATTCAACAAACTATACTAAGTTAAACTCACGTCCAGAACCAATTCTAACTCATAGTGTGATCTTACAGCAGAGGAGAACTGAACTTGTAGGGATTCCAAGTCTTTGTAAAAGTGGACAGCTACACCACTCTTCTATGGAGTGACTTGTGGGCTTAAGTCACCTTTCAGTTAGTAGCCAAGCACCTAACTATTGCACCACTAGGGTTCTTTAAAATCTAAACTACTCCAAGACAGTATGTGAACTGTGAGATAAGAATATCTTTTAAAGTATTACTGCTAATACTAATAAAACTGATTATCCTTTTCTTATTGTCATAACTGAACATATTTTAAGTTTTAAAGTTCTGGTTTATGCTTAATGGAAATAACATTATCCTGAAAAGATATTTCACAATGGCTATGTGAAGTACTCCAAAGTTATTTTCTAATATATTAGAAAATCCATTTTTATATTATTAGTTACTGGTTCAACACAGCAACTCAATATTTGTTTCTGTTTCCACAGTCAGTAAAATGACAAAAGAGGGTAAAAAGTTAATAGTGAAGGTGGAAAGACAAACTAGCAGAAATGCCCTTACAGTAGAGAAAGCAAAAACATAAGGCTGAGGAAAGAGCATCAAGAAGTTAGTTAACTTGCATGATAAAACAAAAACAATTAAACTCATTGTTACTGAGTCCAATGCTGACTCATAAAGACCTTATCGGGCAGAATACAACTGCCCTATACGATTCTATAGGTCCTAAATCACTATGGAAGCAGACTGTCACAACTTTCTCCCATAGAGTGGCTAACGAATTTAAATCAGTAACTTTTCTGTTAGTATCCAATTTTTTAAACCACTGCACCACCAAGGCTTTTCCAATCTGCATCATAAAACTATGGAAATGATCAGGACGTTTAACATCTCTAAAGATCTGGGTGCTCAGAGAATAAATAGATTTTGTTTGTATTCTTTCAAGCTTCTTAAATTCCCTCTCATGTTAATAAAGTTGAGGTACTCATGCTACCACAGCAGTGGCAATCAACTCTCCACTGCGATTTTTCTCTTACAATGACCATTTCTCTTTAAATGACAATCAAAGTCCTTGCAATATTTTGGGCCTTACATGATCGGATTCCACTCTTCTCCAATTTCATTGCCTATTGGCCTATTGTTCTGCTTCTCTTTTTCTCACTCATCCTAAGGATTTCCTCATGTTCCTTAGAGAGACCTACATACATCTGGTTGTTGCCTCTTTTTTTAACATTCTTCCTTCAAGTATCTACATGATCAACACAATTTCTTCAAGCCTTTCCTTAAGTGAAATGTACACTATTAGATTATAACATGCCCACCTGCCTCAGTAATGATACTCCCTTCATACTCTAATTTTCTTCCTCCATAGCAATTACGTTTTAACATATATAATTTGCTTATGTTCACAGTTGGCTCTCATTCTCAATAGATTACAAATCCCTCAAGGGAAAAAAATCTTGCCTTTGTTCACAGAATTATTCCAAATGCTAAAAACAGGTGCAAGATATATTTCGCTAACTAAATAAATGATCTTTTAAAGTTACAGGGATTTCCAATTTTGTTTTAAAACAAAAAATTTATTCTAGGATTTAACAATCCTAAAATAAAGTTTCTTACACTAATAAATAAACAAACCACTTCTCCACATTAAAAAGTAAAACTACTGACACTAGTTTTGTGTCATGGGTTGTGGAACAAAAGTAAAAAGATGAAGATCTGAAAACAGTAACAGTTATCTGGCAGATTACAAATTCTACTGGACAGTGGTGTATCATTTTTATTAATCTATTCGCCACTGCCTGGCACTAGAAGGTATAAACTGAGATAAAACAGAAGGCATCAAAAGTAAAATTTCTATTTTTTTTTTCTAGATAGAATACTAAATGCCAAAAGAATGTTATTTTAATTCCCAATTGGTCTATCCCCAAAGCTAAAGTCCTAGCTCTACAAAAACCTTATTTCATTGGAACCTAATGCTAATACAACTGTCAAAGGAGTATTTTTACAGTGATCTAGACTAGTTAATTTCTTCTAAGAGTAGCTTCAGATCCTAAATAATTGCTTAATTGTCTATCATATATTCACTAACATATTTTTTTCAAAATAGTTTTTGTATCTTTTTTGGTGTGTGGTTTCTTATTTGATAGTTAAAATAACCTTATAAGGAAGGAAACAGAAGGTATTCTCTCTGATTTGATGTGGAAACTATGTGGAAAAATTGGTTTACAAAGATCACATAGAAGCAGAGGTACAGTTGGAAAGACCTTATGTATACATGTTCAAGTAACTAATCCCAAGGACAGAGAGACAATCAATAAAATAATCTCCTTCATCTCCACTATGAAAGATATTATACTGTTTTACATATAAGTTTTCCTCTCTGGAAGAAGCATAAAAATGCCACACTGTCTATAAAGGTGGATACTAGAGTGCAGTAGCATTATGAAAAGGATCAACCTCACTATACAGGGCACTACTAGGAATAATAATTAGTAAAACAAATTCATTGCCTAAAGTCAGTTTTGTTATTTTATTGAACTGTTTTCACAGATAAGGGATATGTAAAGAATTTAAGTGAATTCAAAAATATCAAGAGTATCAAGTCACAATATGAAACATTTTACATTATATATCTTTCTATATTTAAAGCAGAAAAACCCAATTTAAAAAAGTGCTTTTTCAGAGATGTCAAATTAAAAACTTATGTTATCATTTAGTCACTAATTGTAAAGTATACATATATAATTTTATGAATAGGCACATCTCTTTTTCTAAAAGGAAACTTCATGTATAGGTAGAGTTAACTCCAGAGATTGCTCCAATCAGATATAAAATAGTACAAACTAGGAGAAAAGTAAGTACAATCATGAAAAGAAGCAATGTTAAGTGACACAAATTTACTTCTATATTATTCATTATTTACATCTCCTTTTCATGATTACTACTAGATACTATGTTGAAATGTACTTGGAGAGAATTTATTATGACTTATGGCAGAAAATGTATTATCTTTATTTAACAGAACTTTTCTAGAGGCAAAGTGTAACAATACTGACAATTAGAGGAGGAGATAAAGTTATAAAAAAATGTCAAGGAGCCAAAAATTCAAAGATATCCAATGTATTTTTTTTTAAATCCTATACCTTTCCCATTACCATATCCAATATTAAAAAGCAATCCTTAAATACACCAAAATAACAAGGACAAGTATGGAAGATTGTCACTTAAAAGATTTATTACAGTCTAATAAAGGCAAGTTTATTTCACTATAGACTGCCTTCTATGAAATAATGTAGTTAGAAGTTACCTTTAAAAAAGATCAACTAATGTATTCTATAATTACATACATACAGTAACAGTCTGGCAATTATTTTTATTTCTATTGATGAGCATATTTGTTAAGCTTTCCTGATATATCCTGATTACAGAACAGGACATGTGAAAAAATATGCTGGAACAGAGCTCCCTCCATATACTTTATTTCCAGTATCCTCTCTGGGAGGGTTGTTTTTCATCACTTTTCACTTAAAGGCTATTCAAATTCTGTAAACTGATCTCCACTTATAGATAGAGCATCTCTTTATATAAAAAAAAAATCTTTCAATAATGCTAAACAAAACCAAACTCACTTCCATCAAGTTGATTCTGGCTTACAGTGACTCTACAGAACAGAGTACAATTGACCTGTTGGGTTTCTAAGGGTGTAAATCTTTACAGAAGGCGTTCTGCTACCAGTCCAACACTTAATCCAGTGTAATAATTGGTTCATTTTTCTAAAATCTTTTAATTTCCAGAACCTGTTTTTACTTATTTCAGAAAACTTAAGACTAGTCCTCCCATCAATTCAAGAATAAAATACAAACACTATTCTGCAGTTCCACTATATAGAACCACTTTCAGTCTCATTTTTCACCAAGAAGTATCCCCTAAAATCCACTTACACCAAATTCCATTATCTGCTGGGTCTCCATAAACGATATGAAATTACTCTCTAGAAGTTTGTCTGATATATTTTCGATGTATTTACCAATTAATTTATTAGGGTTTTCCCTCCCAATTAGAGCACAATATGATTTAGGTTCAGAACCACATTTACATAAAACTTACACAAACTGTTACGTCTTTGAGAAATAGGAATTTTTAAAGATAATCTGTGTGAAAAAAGGAGAAAAATGCACAAAGTGTGCAAACGCCTTCCAATTAATTTCATGAAAACAAATTACTACATATTTAAATACACTTTCAAAATATAAAAGATGGAAAAGCAATCTACAATAACTTGGTAGCATGAATTCACAAAATTATTTATATAAAATTTTCTAAGGTTCTGAGTAATGTTAATCTGTGACTAAAAAGGTGTTCAATAATATTACATCTTTAAAACTATAACTACTTTGTAAAGAAGTTTAATAAATCATAATTTTAAGAATATAAATAAATCGTAACCAAAAAAACCCAAACCCACCCCCAAACACCACAACAATACAAGCCTGCAGATGTCTAGACCAACAAATACCTTGACAAATGGAGGAAAGACTCAAGTTGCCAAGAATTTAATTTTACAAAGACCCACAGAAAGAGTCAAGTAGTCAAACAACATACTGCAATGGGCAAATCTAAGGCAAGAAACTTATTTAAAGTACAAAAAAGCCGGGATTAATTTTGAGGATTAAAGTGTGCCTGATCT